CTGTCATCTCCCTCACAACATGAGTATAATATTTACTGAGCGAGCTGTCAATGTCCCTCACAACACGGGTATAACAATTACTGGGTTAACTGCCAATTTCTTTCACAACATGGGTATAACATTTACTGGGCTAACTGCCAATCTCCCTCACAACATGGGTAAACATTCACTGGGCTAACTGCCAATCTCCCTCACAACATAGGTATAACATTTACTGGCCAAGCTGTCAATCTCCCTCACAACATGGGTATAACATTTACTGGCCGAGCTGTCAATCTCCCTCACAACATGGATATAACATTTACTGGGCTGACTGGGCTATATCCCTCACAACATGGGTATAACATTTACTGAGCTGACTGGGCTATATCCCTCACAACATGGATAAACATTTACTGGGCTAACTGGGCTATATCCCTCACAACCTGGGTATAACATTTACTGGGCTAACTGGGCTATATCCCTCACAACAAATCAATAATAGTTACCTGTATCAATGCACATAGGATCATCTGAATCGGGAGGACATACACAGAAATATTTATTAAATGAGTTCAGACATCTTGCTCCAGTTGGACATGGATTACTGGAACACTCGTTAATGTCTGCAAATAATAAGAATGGTACACATAAAACACAATAGATACAAGTGGTAAAACAAAACTTAATTTATTTCAATAAGTCATCAGATTCCATATATGGAAATAATTTGCATAATCTAAACATATTCCAGTAGCCAATCAAAACGCAGTTTAAAGAAACTTACCAATCATAATTTCACAATTGATACCAGCCCATTCATAAGAACACATGCAAACATATTGATCAATACTGTCCACACATGTGGCACCATGCCGACATGGGTTGCTTGAACATTCATTCACCAAATCTACAATGATAAAGAGTTCAAAATTAATAATGAAGGTTTAAAAAATCAAAATTTATGAATTTTAATCTTCAAAATATCTTTATACATTTCTAAAAACTAATTCCATAATTTCAGAAAAGAAATTGCATAAAATTAACGTGTATCACCAGAAATGGTATAGATGTGGGAGGTGGAATTAGATACCTGTACTAGAGAAGCTGAGAATATCATTGAAAAATGTATATAGGATCATGATATATTTCTACACTTCATGTAGTGAAACATGTTAACAGCAGGAATACAATATTATTAAAGTGATTAAGCCATTACCACATATATATGCAATGCATTATGGGAACATCCCACTGTATATAACTAGAAACTATTATTGCACTGGTACCCTAATCAAATGTTTCAACAATATCAAGATTCATATGAATAATAAAATATTATTTTTTCATGTCACCAAACAAATTTTTTTTATTTTTTTTTTATTTTTTAACCTATACCAATGAAAGTATATTGAAAATTTAAGGATAAAATAACAAATAATCTTTAATTTAAGGATAAAATGACAAATAATCTTTAATTTAAGGATAAAATGACAAATAATCTTTAATTTAAGGATAAAATAACAAATAATCTTTAATTTAAGGATAAAATGACAAATAATCTTTAATTTAAGGATAAAATGACAAATAATCTTTAATTTAAGGATAAAATGACAAATAATCTTTAATTTAAGGATAAAATTACCTGGAGAATCTTCCACTGTAAATGACAATGCAAATCCTTTTTCTGTTTTATGACTATCACTTCTGAAAGTAACCCAAACCACATTGGAAGTGGTAAGGAATGGTGGAGGGACTTCATTACCAGATGCCTGAATGACAACTGAGCCGGCATCCTCTACGTCGACACCATTACCTGCTTTCAGTACATCATATCGCATTTCGGTGTAGAAATAGTTGAAGTCAACACGTACATGTTTTCCTGATTCAGCATATATGAACCAACGACAGTATTCAAAATCGTGATAGTTAGCGGGATAATTTGGACTTGTAATCTCCATGCTATCTTGATCTCTTGGGATGTTATGTTGGCAATGCAACCCAACCCTGCATAGGAAAATTTTGTATATTATTCACAATTCCAGCAATGGTAAACTAAATATCAATTCTAGATTATACAGATCTCTGTGAAAGCAAAGTATAACTATTGACATAATTTATACTTTCACGTCTTCAGTAATAACATTGATGGGTAACATAAGTGAACACCTAAATTTTACTATCCGGTTCCACATTTTCATGTATTTTTGTACAATTTTTTATTAATTTTTGACCAAACGACCATAATTTCTAAATGGGCAAAGGTCTTGCTTGATAAACATTATTGAAACAAATTTGGAAAAGTTAACAAAAGTGGATTTTGAAGAGTAAAGTATTATTACACAGTACTTTGAGTGAATTAGATTACTCACAATGTTCACAGTTATCACCAGTCCATCCTGCTTTACACTGACAAGTATATCTATTTATTCCATCTACACATAGACCACCATTCTTGCAAGGATAGCTATAACACTCATTAACATCTAAAAAAAGAAAAACAAAATTAATTTTACAAATGTGAAACAATTATTTGGATGTAAAAGTAAGGCAATATATGTGTGTAACAGATATATCAATTTATTGTGACATTGTTTTTTTGGAAAAAAGGTTAAAATTGAAGAAATAACCAAGACTGTCTAACAAATCCATATCAAATTTTGATAATGATTGAATTAATTATAGTTAATATTAATCATACATAGGAAATAAAGAATTATATTTTGTTTCCAAAGTAAATATATATTAAAAGTAAATTTACTACAAATCACTATAATTACAATACTCTTGAGATCATTCAAATTAAACTCTACTGTCAGGACTAATACTTCTTGTGGCTCCCCATTTTTTGAATTTCATTACTAACACTTGTGAAGCGAGGATTCACAAATGTTCACTTTTGTTTTGAATGACATTGCGAGATGTAGTCATTCAAGACAATGGCAAATCATCAAATAATTCCATTAGTACATATTAACACCGTCAAAAATACCACGTAATTCAACTTTTACATTCAAAAACAAGTTAAAATAAATCCAAAACAAAACACTAAAACATGTTTGCAGCTAAACTAAATTATTTTACAGTATATGGACTTACTTTGATCACAGTGGAATCCTTGCCACCCAGCAGCACATTGACATGTGTACTGATTTATACCATCAATGCACATAGCATTATTTAAACAAGGAGAGCTAGCACATTCATTTATATCTGAAAGGTAACATAACATATCCCTGTTATAAATATGATTAAACATATGCATGTCTACTTCAATATCTTCTGGATTGTCATCTGCTCATTTGAGAAATAGTTCATTTAGTTAATCAGAACACTTTATATACATACAATACTGAACAATTATTAACTATAATTGATGGGTATAATAATAATAATTTCATTTATTACACCATAATGAAAGTTAACAAATCATTTTAGGCTGTTATGTAATAAATTAAAAAAAAACAAAAAAACAGTAATAATAATAAAAGTTAAAGAAAATTAAGATAAATATAGTTTAAAATGGCAAATTAGCCTGAGATAGTGTGGTGATATACAATTATGTATGATAAGTACATGTCTATGTGTCATGTTTCTTGAAACAAAGTTTTAAGTATTTAGTCACATGCTTGATTAATTTATGTTCTTTTGTATTAATAATAGTTTTGAATTTGTTTATATTGTTTTCTGATTGAAAAGTTGGGAGTACATTTGTGAATTCCATATAATATAATATAAAAGAGAAATAATTATTAGAAATTATTATTATTATGGTATATGAAAATTGAACGTCCATGGTCTCATTGGCAAACAGTGCAGTGGGGCATGCAGCAGCCGGGCACAACAGTCTTGGGACAGTAGTACTGTACAAGGAGAGTTTTATCCTATTTTAACAAGATTATTTTCAAGAAAGAGTTACATATTAATTTGTGTCAACCTCGCTGTCAACATGGTTGAACATTGGTTAGGTATTCAAAATGTGTGCTTCATTTGTGTTATGTTACCAGTGATTAGAGTGAATGTCAGCTGCTTGCATTCATATTTTCAAAATATTACATTTCGATATCCAATGTGTTTACATGCTTTGGCCTACGTGACATCAGAGCTAATTATGATTTGAGGGGGTATATTACCACATTTCATGTGATCAGCTCTCTACCAATCAGCTTGGCATAACTAGAATACGAGAGATAACAAAGCTGTTTATACTTACTTATTTCACATGCAAGTCCTCCCCATCCTGATTGACAGATACAGCTATAGCCATCAATTAAATCTACACATTGGCCACCATTTTGACAGGGATAACTACCACACTCGTTGATATCTGTCAAAATAAAATAGTTTTAATAAATTTTATCTTAAAGAGACAGAAGTATTATGTGGTTATTACGTATGTGCATGAAGAGAGTACAGTCAACCGACGCATAGTGGGGTAACCTTAATATTATGCATCTTTTCCCTTCTTGTAGCAATAATTTAATGAAAGATACAGCATTTTAAGGACAGGAAAAATATATTGTTTTGGGTGTCAGATATATAATAATATATAATATTTCTATCTGAATAAAAATTTACATTATTTAATAGTATACAAAATTGTGATAATTCATCAGACTTCTTACAGTGGTTAGAGGTATTGACTTACTGATTTCACATGTTCGTCCAGTCCATCCATTTACACAGAGACAACTAAATGTGTTTGGTTGGTTTTCACAGGTTGCCCCATTTTTACATGGATTTGGAACACACTCATTCAGATCTGTAAGATAAAGCAATATTTAAAATAAGTCTACCATTAGAAAAACAACATAAATGACACAAATATATTGTCTCAAACATCAAATGGGGAAAAGGTTATATCTTATATATTGTTTTATACTGTATTTGATGAAATTAGTGCACATTGACCTCAAAATAATACCAAAAAAAAAAAAATGAGTTGCATTCTCATTGACTTCCACAACACACCAACCATCGTCCGAATCGCACGGTTTTGCTAAAGCCGGCTATTCATAACCGGCTCACGAACCCGTGCGTGATCGTGTTAGAAAAAGCTGTATTTCACAGCAGTTGAATTGAGTCATTTGATTGGGCGTGCCAAGAAGCTGGCGCTACCAGTCAGCGTTGCTGTTAAATAAATTTGAAGATCCGGGGGTCATCACAGAATAAAATGGCACCATGTAGGCTCTGTGCTGGTTCACCGGGAGTCAAGAACAGATGGTCTATGTTCGTTGACACGTTTCCAAATTATTTTATTCCAACGTTCAAAATTGTTCGTGGACAAGTGAATGAAGACTATGGAATGTTTAAATATTTGTGCAAATCGTGGTTTAGTAAACTGACAAAACTGTTGATACAGATAACTGTCGACTTGTCCGATCCGTTCTTCGTTGCAACTAACACATCATTTCCCTTAGAAACAGCGCTAAGTTATTTTCTTTTGATGGTCAGTAAGCTCGTTCAGAGAAAAAGCTAGCAACTCGTTGATTTCTATATTCAACCGAGCTAGCGCCACGATTTTACCAAGTAATATACCGTTTCTATTGTGAGTTCTGATTGGGTAAATCAAATGAGCCCAAGTGAATCTTATAATCGTTTGAGGGCGTGCGACATACAGTAAATCATGATGAAATCTGCCAAGGGTTAATGTTGAGTCTTCAGCCAAATAAATGGTCTTTAGCTGGCGAAGATGCACACCAACATGCACTTTAACAATGAACAACAAACATATCTGCGCCAGCCAAGGTTCATTTGTTTGGTGGTCACCTCACATTACTATAAACCTGTATTTATGCACTGTTAACTCAATCAAACAACAATTCATACTCTGGTTCGTTCCCATAGTAAATTGAACACAAAGTCAAGTGTTAATTAAGATGCATTTTCTTCGGGAATCGAACGTGATGTCACACATTTTTGTCAGTTAAGCCATATGACATGATTGAAATTAATGCAAGTTGTTGTTGTTACAGAAATACTGATTGGAGCACCCAATCAAATTATTAATTTAAAATTTATTTGTTAAACTGAGGTCAAATAAAGCTTTTCGTAACATGATCACACACGAGTTTATAGAGACAGTCATGAATGGTTGGCTTCAGGAAAATTGTGTGAATCGGAAGATGCGAACAAAAATGTTCATGAAAAATATGCACATTTTATTATAATTATTATTATTTACATACTGGTACCATCTGAATGTCAATTTATTTAACATGAGTTTTCAATGATCTATGGTTGGGAAAGTTTATTTACAATTTTACAGACTGGAAAAACAGTCACGATCTCCATTATCTTTGTTGTTAATCATTTTCATTTGTACACAAATAGGGGAGGGTAGCTTAATTGGTCAAATACGGTTACCGTAGTGAAAAAATCATCTGAACTTATGAGATAAATGTATCTTAATGGTTGCTAAGAATTATCAACAGTTTTTTTTATAAATATTGTTATTATTTTATAAAAATAATGATTTAACATAGATTCCTATGATATGTGGAGAATATATTGATAAAATATAATAAAAATCACTACACCAAATCAGATGATGTAGAGTTACCAATTTTATATCCTGTCTAACTCATATTTTCATTCAGCAGCTTTCAAACACAAAAACTTGAGAAAAAATAACATACCTATTTCACAGTTGTAACCTTGGTAACCAGCTGGACATGTACATGTATAATGACCGATACGGTTGTTACAAGTACCACCATATAGACATGGGTTACTTTCACATTCGTCGATATCTAGTAAAAAAATATTTTTTAGCAATTTAAGTCAAACTCAAATAAATTGCTACTGCAAATTTCATCATCAGACTGAACACAATATAAAATTTATAAATTAAATTAATTCATCTTTAGCTGCAAGTACAATAAATGTGTGACATAGAAGTGTGTGCGGGGTTACCACTTACCGACATCACAAAGTAAACCTGTCCAGCCTTGGTGGCATTCACATCTAAACGCATTGATAAGATCAATACATAAACCATTCAAACAGGGAATACTGGCACACTCATCAATATCTAGAAAATATTAGACCATAGAATTAGTGGTGTTTACTGTTTTGAGAACTTTTCACTTACAATGCAGAATATATTCAGTTGATTAATATGATATGTACTTACTTATTTGGCATTGAGGTCCAGTAAATCCAACAGGACAGACACAGGAATATGCATTAACTGCATGTATGCATGTTGCACCATTCTGACATGGTCCACTGTCACATTCATTTATATCTATAATTTATAAAGAACAAAAGATGTACGAAAGATGACGTTGTTGTGATATCTGCTCAATTATTTTAATGTTATGTCGATGAATTGTTGGATGTGAGAAAGTTAAAAAGGACACCAATTAAGAAAGCCATCAGATCTTCCATCGTTTTTGACAAGTATTGGTACGAATATCTGCAATATTGTTTCAGATAAGACTTTTATGCATTTTTAATGAGGTAACATGACTTTACCGATCTCACAGACTCCCCCAAGCTGGACACAACATGCCAGGTAGAACAAAGCTTACCTAACTCGCAGACTGCCCCATTCCATCCTGGTGGGCAGGAACAGGTGAAAAAACCAATGTCATCAGTACATGTACCACCATTCATACAAGGGGAACTTGAACATTCATCAATGTCTGTAGACAAACAAGAAAGCCACATGAGAAAATATGACTGATAAACAATAACACTCAAACACACAAACAATCAATCAATCAATCAATCAATCAATCAATCAATCAATCGATCGATCAATCAATCAATACATTAATTGTATTCACACTGGTGGATACAAACATTATCTTGCACATATAGTATAGTACAGTATAGTATATTTATTGACACAACACTGACTTAGGAAAGTACAACAGTAAGGTCACTAAAACTACAGAACAGAGAAAAAAAAATAAGAGTGCAAAAAAAAAAAAATAAAAAAATAAATAAATAATAAACTAACTAAAAAAAATGTATGCTGTTCAAATGGCATAGTGTTATGGGTAATCATAGCATATGACTAGAATGTACATGTAATAATTCCATACTTACTGATTTCACAGTGTACATCAGTCCATGCGGCACTACACTGGCATGTATAACCATTATGTCCATCGATGCAAGTACCGCCATTCTTGCAAGGATGACTGGCACACTCGTTAATCCCTGAAATGAAATACCGGTAGTACACAGGTTTTTATACACGTTGACGAATAAAATGAAGCCAATTTTGCAAGAATACAGAAGTTATTGTAACACACACTAGTACATACCATTGTTACAGTCCTTTCCTGTCCATCCAGGTGGGCATACACACATGTAGTCGTTTGCACCATCAACACATGTGGCGCCGTTCTGACACGGCCTACTCAGACAATCATCAGTACCTTCAAAGACAACAGTATCATTAGGTTTAGAACATATATTAATGAAGTAGGAGGATGAGAAACATTACATTTTATATTGTAATAACTGTCAAATCAAAGAACAAAGATCTCGATTCCTTGCAGCTTTATACATCTATGCCCCAAAGTTGGAAGATTTTTGCATGGATGAATTATTTCCTATTATTGCTTCAAGTAATGATTTCTTCATTCTTAGCATTTTTGCAAAATTTATTTTCTATATTCTTGATATGTTTTAGGACTGTAATTTTGTTGTTGTTGTTGTTGTTGTTGTCCTGAATGTTTTGTTTTGTTATTGTTATTTTTGGACTTTACTTAAGTTTTCATTGGTACGTTCCAAATAAAAAATTCTATCTATCTATCTATATTAACTTGATTTAACTAAATAAAAGAATGATCACTTTTTTATTAATTAATTAATTATTGATTAACTTATTGCGATATCAATGTACTGAGGCACTAGTAGTATATACTCACTTAATTCACAATGTAGACCAACCCACGCTGGCAAACACTCACATATGTAGGAGTTCACAAGGTCAATACATGTACCACCATTGAGGCAGGGACCACTACCACACTCATTCACATCTGAAAAGAGACAATTAATAGACGTCAGGTTAATTATTTTAACAAATATGATGTAATCAGGTAGCAGAAGTAGAACACCACTATCTAGATATAATATATATTTAGGGCAGACTTTTTTTTATTCCTTGTTTCTCGTGTTTTTATAAGGCAATTTTTTGAGGAGGGCGGAAAAAAATAAAATAAATTCTTTTTTTCCATTAGATTTGTGTGATTCTCAAAGAATTGTAAGTGAGATCATTGATCGGAGAGAAGAAATGAAATTTTATTCCATGTATAACCTTATTTCTCATCTGTGCAAGACTTTGGTACTTTGATCATGCTACTCCAACGAAAATGCTTGGATTTTTTAGGCGGCAGGTGGAAAAAAAATGAAGATAAAAATAATTTTTTTTTAACAATTTTTTGCACATACAAGTCGGCGGACGCAAGAAATTACGCTGAAATAAAATTTTATTTTTATTTCATTTTCGGCTCCTGTTCATTCGGCGAGTTCGCGAAACAAGGGATAATAAAAGTCTGGCCTTAATACTTGTGAAGTGTGTTTTACTTACTGATATCACAGTTAATGCCTGTCCACCCTTCAGCACATTCACATGAATAGAAATTTTCGCCATGACTACACGTTCCACCATTTTGACATGGTCCACTCAAGCACTCGTCGACATCTGAAAACACAAATTGTTCTTCATTTATTTAGAAGACTATGAAATTAAAAGTACAATGTTACAGAAGAGTAGCAAAAGGCTACAGATGGGTTTAAATGTCATTACAAACATCATAAAACAATGATTTTTTGAACAAACAAATATCTACGTTTGCAATTTTATACTTATATCCTGGGTAAATTTTTATATCCAATAAGAATCTATAAGCAATATACTATCTATTTAGATTACTTAAAATTATTCTTGAACCAAGAAGAAATTACAGACAAATTGTAAAAATTTGATATGATAGAACCATTTCAGTTTAGGGAATTTGACACATCGTCCGATTTGTATGTTTTCAAACCTGTGTGTGATTGTGTTAAAGGGGAACCGCTCTATCCCATGGATTGCACCAAAGAATCATGGGACACTATTGTTTATGTTGTTTACAATGATAATCTAACTTTTGTTATCCATTGTTATTTTAATCCAGAAAGTAAATTTGTTGTGGGATTAGGCTTAACTGGAAGGTGCCCCTTTAAGAAAAGCAGTATTTGACCTCAGTTAAATTGAATGATTTGATTGGGTGTGACAAGAAGCTGGATCCATCAATCAGTATTTCTGTAACAATTCACACCAAGTTCAAATTTCAACCAATCGATTGCACCGTCTTATATGTCACAGCTTAACTGACAAAAACATGTGACTTTGAGTTTGATTTTCAATGGAAACATGTTACAACATATGATTTTGTGTTCTTTTTGCCACAGAAAATACATATATATATATAGTGGGAATTCTGCCAAGATCACGGTCAAATAAATGAACCTTGGCTGGCAAAAATGCTCATGACATTGTACAGCTGACTATGATATTCACCACATATACTTGTATGGCATAAAACCAGTATTTCAAAACAGATCTATATTCCACTTACCAATTTGACAGTTGGTTCCTGTTTTTCCTGGTTTACAGAGGCACAGATATGAATTAATACCTTCCATACAGGTACCACCATTCAAGCAAGGACTACTAGTGCATTCATTGATATCTGTCTGACAGAGTGTGCCAGTGTAACCCGCTGGGCATACACAGATGAAGTAGGTATGGTAATTTATACAACTGCCTTCATTTTGACACTGGTTGGGAAAGCATGCATTGACATCTGAAAACAAAAAATCATAAAAGTGTGAATAATGCTACCAAAATTGACACAGATGTTTTGTAACGCCTTATTGACACCACAAAATAGCAAATATGTCTATTGTATCTTATTTTTACCCAATGTTTTATATTTGAAATTATTTTCAGGTTTTATGGATGGGTTTAAATTGAACTACACATCTGAAAATAATTGATATTAAATTTTGATTAAAAAAACAACAAATATTACAAATTTAAAAATAACATAATTACTGATGTATACAAATAAGAAGTCTTACTATTGTCGCAGTTGTATCCACTGAATGCCACTGGACAGGAACAACTGTAATGATTAATTCCATCAATACAATGGCCACCATTTTGACAGGGATTGCTCCCACACTCGTTAATATCTAATAATACACAACATCATAATTGGCAGCGTTAGTAGTTGCCGGCATACACGATGTTCATACTACTTGTATTGATATAATGCGACAGCTATACATAATTAAAGAAATATAAATACCGGTAAATGATTTAAAACACATTCTGTTATTAGTATTACTGACAATTAACTATAGATAACTTACTGACTTCACAGAGTGTACCGGTCCAACCAGCCTTACAGGTACAAGCAAAGCCACCAATGAGGTTGATACATGTGCCATCATTCATACATGGTAAACTGGCGCATTCATTGAAATCTGAAAAATAAAAATGATTTCTCAGAATATTTCATGTACCAATATGTAAAATTGATTCTTTCCAATGTTAATATATTTTAAATTAAAAAAGGCTATGTAAATATGGCCCCATGAAGAATCGAAGACATTAGAAAAAGATGTCTTTGGAAGAATGCTGCAGTGGTTTTCAGGAAGTAAAATTCACACTAATTATTTTCATAGAAGAATTGTTTTTAAACAATATCAAACTATATATTTTATGAAAACTCATAATTGACACTAATTAAAATTTATTGGTAAACAAATAGTTTTTTTGAGATGCAAACGAGTACTGTGAAGAAATTGAAAAGATTACCACAATTTTACTTTTGAAAAACATAGAAATGTCAACTTTTGAATTTTCACAATCATAGAGTGAAACCTTGAAGAATGCATAATTTAATAAGAATTGCTGAAGAGGTACTGTATTGTTCATATATACCACATCAACAGAATTAAAACAAATGAAATGAAGTCCCATGAATTGTTTAAATATGTTCTAAAATTATTTCACACATGACTGGATGATTTATCAATTATTTAAAATACATGCCAATATGCAAATTTAAATCATCGTAACAATGCAGGTTGTTAATTTTGCCCACTGTTTTAAGTATGTTCAATTCATGATGACAGAGTTTAGAAGTTTTCATAGATATATTTATGAATTCTATAAGTTATGAAAAGTTCATTTTGATTAAAATATGCCAACAATATTATAACTATAATATTAATTTCCACTTACCAGACTGGCAGTTGTATCCAGTATAGCCATCCTGACATCGACATGTATAGTGGGTTACCTCATTAACACAAGTACCACCATTAATGCATGGATCACTGGTACATGGGTCTAATTCTGAAAATAGTTATTAATTCATGTGTCATAATCCATCCAGCACATTAAAACTAAAAATACCACAATTTTCATTGTTTGGATGTTTTTTATTGGGTCCATAAACCCACATGTAATGTACTCATATTGATAAATCAAAGTAATACATGTACAATAAATTATTTAAAAAATCTAAATTGCAAGAAATTTAGATTTTTTCATAAATAAGACAATTTCTATGAAAAATATGATATAAACATACCTATCTGACACATATCTCCAGTAAAGCCAGGTGGACATGTACAAGAAAATCTGTTTTGTAGATTGTTACATCGGCCACCATGCTGACAAGGAAGACTGATGCACTCATTAATATCTAGAAAAATAAAACAATGTGAATGACCTTGACATTGAGATATTAAAATTTGTATATTGCCTTATTTAGAAACATGATAAATGAGAGATGTGATTTTTAATATGTATAATAGAACTGTATAGAATGGGCTTTTATTAATGCAAATAAGGTATTAATATTGGTAGATTGTCTAATTTGTGGATACAAGCACCAATGTCTTAATTTCATGTTTGGGAATAATTAATCAACTCACCTTCTTGGCATAGCTGACCTGTCCATCCAGCAGTACACATGCAATAATATGCATTTTCGAGATCGATGCACGTTCCACCATTGATACATGGTCCACTGGCACATTCGTCAATGGCTTAAATTAAATTTTACAAAATAATATGATATTAATTCTAAAATATTCATAGTGTAAATATGATAATACATATATTGAATACCACAATTTTTGCGCAACTTTTTTCACTTTGGTATTTTTCTATAATTTAACGATTAATTTTGTAACAAATGGATATAATCACCTGCAGGTCTTATTAAAAAAGGTAATAATAATTTTTATTAATTGTATAATGGCCTCCGGCCCATTACAATCATGCAAATTAATTATTGACAAGAAATAAATTTACATTACAAAATATGTATGAAAATATAGATGA